GTTTAAAGGAACTGAACATCAAATAATTCTTTTTAACATTTCAAATTATGCCTTTGTTATCAGGAGACCTACTCACCATTCCCTTTTCAAATAGAAAGAAGGGCTTGAGGGACATCCCAGCTTTGTGGAGAATATTTTATTTATAAGATTTTTCTCAACTGATAATTAAATTAACAGTGGTAATTAATTAGGCTAGCAGATGAAAACAACTTAACTATGATGACTCTCAGCATCAAGTTTTCTTTCTGTCCACTCTTCCTACTGCATAGCTTACATGAGCAAAACGCCTGAGAAATTTGCAGCAGAATGCTCAAACTAATTGTGGTACAGGCAGATTTCTCCTCTCGTAATTTGGTGAACTTATCTGTAGCACACCTTATAAATTCAGTTATGTGTATCTGTCTGCAGTGCCATGAACTCCTCACATAGTTGTGAGAGGCGAAGTCACTTGGACAAAACACTGTAACAGGTTTGTTCACTCACCTGAATCCAACCACACCAAAACTCTAAGCACGCACAAATTGTTACAAGGACCTAGCTATTTGGTCTTTCTGGTTTTCCTCTTCCACCTGCCCTACCAAGCTCCCTGCCTCTCTAACCTTACATAAATGAGCTCAACATCAGCAAGGGACTACACACGATTGAGGTCAATGGAGTTTCCCCATCATTTCAGTGAACCCAAATACTGCTCCAGAACACCGAGATCTCTGGACCTGATTTTTCCACTGATTTTTGTACAGACACCTGTATTTGTACACAGACACAGTATTCTCCAAGTCAGAATCACATCCATTTATATCTACCCAGCAAAATGGAAATAGCTATGTTAGGAACCAAGGCTGTGAAGAATCAAGCCTCCCCAGCCAGCTGCTTCAAAAACCACGAGATGAACGGCCTCAGCACCTATCAGACCTCAGTCCTCTCCAACACCAAAAGCACCACAAGCTGGGTATAATCTGCCCCCCTGGCCGATGCTGGGGACCAAACTGAAGCTGCTGACCTTAAAATATCAAAAGAAGTCCCTGAGTTCACAGCACCAACTCAGCTGTGTTCAGGCACACTCTTGTCCCAGCCCTGCTTTGAGGGACCCCAGACTGCAGTGACAGCCAGGTGCCCTTCTCTGCCTGCCACTCCCAGGGTCTGCCCTTCCCTAGACAGATGGCCTGGCCAAACTTTGGAGGCAGCCAGCGAGAGACTCCCATGGATTTCAGTGAGAGCTGGACAAAAGCCAAGGTGAATTTCCTCTGCAACAACACTATTCCCTGCCACAGAGCTTCTCAGGCAAAGCTTATCACCATGGTTTCTAAAGTACTGCTGGTACCAGAAAGTGAACACCCTCCAAAATTACTGTCTTCATGACATGAGCTTCATCACATCTTCTGCTTCGTTTATCTCCTTTATTCCTCGTCCTCACATTAGTTTTTGCCTTTTACTCCCCAAATAAAGCCATATGTTGGCCAATGCACATTAGTACTGCTGAGAGCAGAAGGGAGGAGAGCAAGGCAGACTTTCCTGATCTCTTAAATGTCAGTGCATAATAAAAACATCACACATAGCCAACATAATACAACCCCATTTACCTTTCCATGAATATATCACAGGGGGAACAGAGTTTTGTTCAAGAGACCAATCTCCTTAAGATGAGGTTACTTCATTGCCTGATCCAGGCTAGGAAACTTGCCTTTTGCAAACTTCCTGGTGCTTGGCTCAAAGCTCACCTGGAGAGGTATGGATGGATCCCAGCTGGAGGGGACTAAATTACCCCACTAGCCCCTGAGGAAGCAGCAAAGAGAAGACATATCATGTCAGCCAAAAGAAAGGTGTGCTGTGAGCTAGTTCATAACATTATAATCTATGTAATAACATATACATTAACCTGTATAGCACACACTTCCACATGGTTGTGCAGCTTTCTGCAATAATTTCTAACACTCAGAGGCCTGATTGTTATTTTGATATGACTTATAAAACAGAATTAAAATACAATTTTAATGCCTGAGGGTATTTAAATTGATTGAGTTTTAATCCAATAGATAGTATAAATAACAGCTTCAGCAGTGAAGAGATTTACAGGTCTAATCCAAACTGGATACTTGTCACACACCTCACAACAGAAATTATTTGTAATGGATAGATAAGGAAATACGAAGATACTAAAGCAATGAAAATAATAAAAGAATTTAGGCACAGATGAAACAGCTATCCATCAACTTCTTAAATCAGCTAATACCAAAACCTCAAGCATCCTTATAACTGTAAATTTAACTTGGACTGCTTAAACTTAGGTCACACTGAGTCAGACCACAGTTATTAGATGAGTAGGTACAGCCCACTAACATCAGAGACACTTCCTTGATTGTGTCAGCCCTTGGCTTGCAACAGCAAGAGACAAAGCAGGAGGTGTTTTCAGACACAGATTTCTACAGCTGGAAATGTGTTACATTGTGGTTTTCAAATAGCTGAAGTTTAAGCTCTGCGAGCATTGAGGTAACAGCAGCTATCAGATATGCTGGGTAGAAGAAAGAAGTGATTAGGGAAAAGATTCATTCCCTTTACAACAGACATTTGTCCAGCGAGATTCTTAACAGTGGCTTGACCAAAATACAGTGGTTTTCAGTCAGCAGCAACTTTCACATTGATTTTATGGACACTGGAGAAGATTTTTTTTCCGGTCCCTTTTTTACAATGTTGTTTTCATATCCCCTGTATTACAGGCATTAGGATTTTTTAAAAACATGTGAACTGCTTTGGTAAAACTTGACACTACCTTGCTGCCTAGTAAGTTGAACTAAACCAACAGTTTAAATAGCTCAGCTCACAGCTAATAAGCAATTTAAATAGCTTTGCTTTGCTAAGCTCAAGTAGCTGTATCAGGTTTCATAGCACCATCAGTCACTGCCAGATCCATAGGCAGCATTTAAATGAATCATTAGCAATGGTCACCCCCAGGAAAAAGAAAAAAGGAAGCAAAAGAAAAAATACTTTAAGAACTAAGAATCAAGTCATTGTCACAATTTCTATGAGTACATGCCCCATATGTGACACCAAAATGTGCCCAGGAAGCAAATCCCACTGGAATGCCTGGGCCAAAATATATTCATCCAAGTAAGAACGGCTGAGCTCTGTGTTCTGACCACAACCTGCTTCACAAAGACACGTGAGTATAGAGGTGCACATTTCACAGGAGGAAAAGCTGTAGCATGCAGAGGTGAAGGATTTGCAGCACAGATGGAACTGGAAGAAAACTGGGAGGTGCTCCTGTGTCATGTGTGCTAAGCCCCAATTGCAGTAATGCTATCACAAACGTGCTTCCAAGTTCTCTGGATCAGAAAGGTGAATGGCAAGACAATGATGTGACACACTGGAAAAATGCATATTCACCAAACACCTTATCTGAACTTTTTACAGAGTGCCAGAGAAGGTACAACCCACGCTGAAACCTGGGGAATGAACGACACCGGGAGCTTGATCTCACGTGCACCAATGTAAGACTGCAATGACTGAGAAACACATTAAATCAGGGTATTGAAGTAGACTAGTGAACATTTCTGCTCCCTGTACAAGTCTGCATGATCTGACACTGCATGTAGCAGCACAGACAGGAGCAGAACCAGAGCTCTCAAAAGCCTTTGCAGCCAAAGTCTTTTGCAGCTTGAACAGCTCCGGAGGCAGAGCAGGACCACACGGAGCCCAGAACTACAACTGACTGACAGAAAGGGTGGGGAACCACTGTGACCTTCCCCTCAATTCTCTCCAAGCCACAGCTAAACTCATCTAGCAGTATGGAAATGGTTAAAAATGACAGCAACTGAAACATTTGCCTTTAGAGACACGCAGGTAGTGGCAGAGGCAAGTTTCCCATGGATGGATGTTTCTGACCATCCTGGACTCTGCAGGGCAGTGCTGCTCCAGACAGGTTTCAATACTTCTTTCTCCAACCCCAAGGACAGTTTCTCTTTTATTTTCCAGTGAAACTCCACATAATTAAGAAGCAGATGAGCCCCCTCTAATCCTGAGGAGAAACATGGGAAGATACTCACTTAGATCCTGTTTCTCCCTCTGTCCCTGTACTTCTATTCAGTACTCCTGAGTATCAAATTCAGACATGTGCATGTCACTTTAATTCATTATTTATCCATATACTCTCAAACTATATCTCTTTGACAACAATCAGCAAATCTATAGCAGGAATCTGGACACTTGAAAGCAGCAGAGGAAGCTCAGAAACTGAGGAACAGTTCCTTGCCACAGGAGGGTGAGGAGAGACAAGGAAAAGGTATAAGAGAACATAATAGGATAAAAATAAAGTAAATTAAATGTGTGGGTTTGGAATCCCCCAAGACATTCTGGTCGAGAGGATCTCAAATCTATATATAGTTCAAGCCAAAGGCATAACCTCAACCTCTGTTCCCTGATATTTAATTCACAAATTGCCCAAATGCCAGCATTTGGCTTTTGTCCCCTCATGTAAGTTAGAGGATAGCAAAAACACAGGACTAATTTTTGGAAAGACCAAGCTGAATTCTCCAAGAGGTCATCACATGTGGTCAGAGACTTCTGGCATGCTAAAAAAATTTAAAAAGGGAAAAATATTTCCACAAATTAGGGACCAGCTGGCACAATTCAGGCAAGTTTACCGTATGCCTCCAGCAGCCAGAGCTCCCGCTGAACCAGCGCGTGGAACATCTGACAATGAACTCGCTGCACATCCCGCAGCCGCTCGGCCAGGGACCGGACCCCAGGCCCCTCACCAGCCCCCGCTCCGCGGCACCCCGAGCTCCTCCCCGCTCATTCCAGCGGGGATTTTGCCGCCGGTGTGCCCGCTCCGCCGGCGGCTCGGGCGGGAGCCCGCTCCCGAGCGGGCGTCAATGATTAATCACGTTATAAAACGCCGCTTCTGGGGAGCGCTCCGGGGAGGCAGCGCTCTCCCCGCTCCGCACCTGCGGCGGGGCCGGGGCGGGACGCGGTGCCCACGCGGGGCCGGGGCCCGGCGGACTCACCCCATGTCTCGGCACCTCTCGGCGGCGGCGGCGGCACCCCCGGGCGGCTCCCCGCGCTCGGCGGCCAGCGGCGGCCGCGTCCCCACTTCACACATGCGGCCGCCCCGGCCCCGGCTGGCTGCGGCTGCACGGCGGCTGCACGGCGGCGAGAGCCGTCCTGCTCCTCCTCCCGCCGCCTCCCTCCCCCCTTACATAACCTCCCTCCCGGGCGGCGGCGGCACCGAGCAGCTCCCGCGGCACCCGCCGCCCTGCCAGGCGGCAGCGCGGGGGCGGCGGGCGGGGCGGGGCGGTGGGCGCGCCCCGGGGCCCTCCGCTCCCCTCCGCTCCCCTCCGCTCCCCGCCCCGGGCCCGGGCCGGCCGTGGGCGGCTTGTGACCCGGCGGGCAGCGAGGAGCCGCGCCGGGAGGCTGCAGGACCTCGTCCTCGCCGTGCCCTCCCCGAACGGGGACGAGGCGGCGAGAAAACTTCGGGTGAAGTTGTGGGGTGTCCCCACGCGGCCCCGCCCGCGGCCGGGGAGCCTCAATGGCGAGAGGAGTGAGCGCACCCCGGCAGCGGCTGCCCGGGACCGGCTGCCCCGCACCGGGAGCGCCCCGCCGGCAGCCCCGGCTCCGCGGCGCGGGCACGGCGCGCTCCGAGCGGGGATCCCGGGGATGCGCTTCCGACTGGAGGCGATGCCACGCCGAGGGATGCCCGCTGAAACACGAGCGGGCGATTCTCTCCCACTGTCGCGCCCTCCCCGCGTCTTTTCACGCTCCGAATCCGCGGGCCGTGAGTGCGGAGCCTGTGAGCCACGGAGCCGTGCCAGCCCTGTTTGGCCACTGGCCCTGGCACAGCCAGCCCCGCGGCCCAGGTCACCCGCAGCCAGCCAGCACCTCCCTGCTCTGCCCAGAAACGTGGAACCCGTCGGGAGCCCTGAATCTCCTTTGGCCCTTCGCCTCGCTGCAAGTCTGTGGCACAGAGGGTCCCAAAATTATGTGTTTCGTGAAAATAAAAAGAAGGACGATTCCTAACCAGGGAAGGAACAACTGGAGTCGTGTGGAAGAGCCGTGTGATGGCTACACAACCACGAGGGTGACGCTGGCATCTGACCGGCTATCACAGGACACAAATCCATAGCACAGCCGTGGACCTGCTCGTTCGGGTGTTCATAGGACTGTGTACACAGACACACTTACACTTTCATGGAGAAAAAACGCCCAATTCACACATAAGACAGGCTTTTAACTTCACCCACACAAAGTTATAATTAATACTCTGCCATCAAGAGTGATTATTTTCATCCCTTTTTTAAAAATCTCACATTGATTTATCCTTTCTTTCCAAGGAAGTTTAGAAGTTGTGGGAAAGGCATTATATTTGCTTGCTTTAGCTTCATGTGTAACAACTGGGGGTATCCCTACCCAAGTATTACCTTGGGACCTCATAGGAATCCTGAAAGGAAAACTTAGCTAGCAACCAAACACCTTTCCAGCTATGGACAGTGGAATCCCTTTTCTGACAGACAACTATTTCCTGATGTCTGGAACACCAAAATGGAATTTCAATCCCATGCACTCAATGTCCATGTCACTGGGGGGAAAAAGGAGCGGGGTGAATTACACAGACATTTTCACAAGGCTGTGGGATGACACCTCTCCAGTGTACCTGCTCTCTACCTTGGTCAGAGGGTTACTGTGGGTGTTAAAGGAGACTTAACCCCTTACCTAATCCCTGATGTCAAAAGTTCCTGTGTCCTTTTCTGCCAGCTGAAGGTGAGGTTTCATTTCCTCTGAGATAGCCATGGCAAAAGTGACAAACCTTTCATGTTCATGATGACCTGCATCCTTGAATATTGCTTTGATGTGACCCTTCTTCTCTTCCAGGGGAAACAGTGAGGGGTAACATCCTCTGAGGGTAAAAACAACAGTCTAAAAATCTTGTGGAAAAAACACTCACCATGAATCTGGGCATTTTATAACACTGTTTTTACACCATTTACCTCATTTTGTTAAATTACATACTCCATTCATCAGCGAGAAATTTGTCTTGGTCCTCTCTGATTAATTAGCTCATTTTGGTGAGTATCCAAAAACTGTGTTTTATGAACCAGTGCTGCAAGAGACTTACAAGTATCTAATGGAATTGGATCAAAATGGGGTAATGCACTCACTATGTGTGTCATGATAAGATGAGAATTGTAAATTGGAGCTGCAGTTGCCTTAGCATTTTCTAATTTTTTAATATTTTCCAATCTTGCATTCAAGATTGTGTTTTCAACCCCATTTATAAAAATAAAGCTCAGGTTTATGGAAACATAATTGCCTGTGAAATGCACAGGATACAAAATGTTGTATATTGCTTTTGTTCAAAAGCTTTTCCCACTTCATTCATGCTCTTTGCAGAGCTGTCTTCTAGGAGACAGAGGGGTTTAGTCCCTTTTCTCCAGTACACTGAGACGCTTTTCCTGGCAGACAGCAAGTTAACCCAGTTTTCTGCTCATATTTGGAATTCTGTAAGTTCACTCCCTTTATCTGAAATTCCCACTATTCTTCTAAATGGATGAGATACTCCTCTTTCTGAAGTGTGGCACACAGTTGTGGTCCTCCTTTCTCTGCCAAAAAGAGGATGAAGCCCTGTGCTCACTTCAAGCCAATGGTAAAAGTCCCGTGGATTTGAGTCAGGCCCAGATTTCATTCAAACCGTTTAACAATATCAATACTGAATTAAGCATTTTTTCTGCAGACAGTTCCATCTTGAACCTCTCCACCATCACTGTCCTAGGTTGTGTATAATTCCCATTGATTTACATTATTTTTGTGTAATTTAGTATGCCAGTTGTTTAAGGTATTTTCAGTTCTCTGTAAATGAGAACTATAAATATGCTATCACAATTAATCAGTTTTCAAGCTTCATATGTGACATGATCTTTCATTTCCGAGATGGCTCAGGCACAGGATGTGTAAGGGAGGGTAATTCAGTCCTCATTTAGTATTCACAAGTGTGCCCTTATTGCTGTGGCACGCTTAGGAACACTCAAAATACTGAAGGCACAGGATCCCTTGGTAGGATTCAAGCTGAGCAATAAAAATATCCACATTCTGTAAATGGGTCTAACTTCTTTAGATGAGAAACTTCTCCTATTCCCACAGGCCTCCTAAAGATACAATTTTTTGATTCCTAGATACAGGGTGAATATCCTTTTCAGAAAGCTGATCTAACAATCTGGACTCTGTACCCAGCATTCTGAAAAGCAAAGAGCTCACTGGGCACTTCTTCTCAGTATTTCTGTTCTCTCCTTTTATTTGGTTTTCACTATTGTTGTCTTCTGCCACTCTATTTTATTTCAGATATAATTTTATTGCAGAAAACCTGCTGTTCAGTCTTTTTAAACTATTATACTTGAAGAAGTTTTCTATTTCCCATGGCAGATAGTATTAAATAAAGTATTCAGTACTGTGATTTTTTTCTTTTTTCCAAGTAGTCTGATGAAATCTGCATTTTTTTACTCCAACAGGACTGTGCCATTTCCCTTTTCTTCCGCCTTTGACAAATAACCAACCATTTTCTAGATTTAAATGTTATCCAGAGTTCAACCAAAATAAGCTTGGGGGAATTCTTGATTTTTACATTTGAAACAGAGAATTAGTTTTTTAAACCTCCTGACAAATGGAGAACTACTGTAATGATATAAAATGTTAAAGGTGAGCAACTGAGAAAAGAAAGGATTTAAAATCACTTTGTAGAAAACACTCTGATTTACAGTATTTGTTTTTAAAACCTACTTAATCTGATATCTAATAAATAATTAGGACAAAAGATCTATTTGCTTAAAACAATGAACACTCTTGTCCTTTCAATTAAAATGTCAGAGTGCACAATAAACATGAGAACTTCAACAAGTCCTCCAGCAAGACATCTGATTTTTAAGAAGAAAACAGTTTTCCTCTCCAGTATCCTTCAGAAATAAACCAAAATAATAGGATTACTTTCTGTGTTTTTAAAAGAAAAAAAAAAAGATAAAATAATTTAAAAGCAATTTGTCAATCTACTTTAAAATGGGTTGCATGCTCTCTTATTATTCTTTGCAGTTTATTCTTATATTTACTTAGTGCCTGGAAGCATCCATCTAACTGGAGTCAGAGAAGGTTCATGCCCAGTTTCTACCTCACTTTTTTAAGAGTTGTCCTGTGAAATAGCACAGGAGTAGCAATTCAAAGCAGAAGTTTATGTAAATTCGAAGAGCTGTCATTGTCACACTGTGGTATATGCTGCCCTCTCAATAAAGGCAAATGCAGCCAACCAAAAATAATTTCAAATAAGATCTTAGAGAGAGAAGACCTGGACACATAAACCAGCAAAACCAGAACAATGCCCTACAGTCAGCACAGGACTCCAACCTGGATGTGAGTACCCAGCAAGGTGTTGAAGGCTACAGAAGTGTAAGAGGCTGATGGAGTGTGAGATGCTGACCACTGGCAGAGTCAGAGAGCATCTGTCAGCATTAATGCACAATAGAACAGATCCTCTAGGCATCCTTTGTGCTTTGGTCTGCTAGAAATCCAGCTTGGGACACACCTTGGAGTGCACACTGATCCTGAACATTTGTAGAGGTGGTCCCACACTAGGAGCAAACCTTATTCAGACCTTTTTCTTTGTGCTTACTAGGTCAGACAAACAGATAATCCCAATTCTCCTTGTTAATGTTTTCATTGATGTAGACACTGTGATTATGTCCACTCCACTGTAAAGGAAATAATGTTGGTCACCTGACAGCTTTCTTCTGTATGTGGTGGCTCTTGCTGCTCTGCTCTGGATCACACTAATCTGAGTTGGTTTGGCAGGGGACAGACTGGGACTCTGCAGAGTAGGTGAGGAGCTCTGCATGTGGGTGTCCCTACAGCTTGTACACGAGTCTGTTTACTTGTTCATATGCACACAAATACTGCTTTTTTGAGCACACATGCATGAGTCAAGATCTTCATAAAGCTGCTCAAAGGCATGTACAGGTCTCCCAGATGATGAGATGGATCCTGACTTACTCCTAAAGCTGCACCAAATATGTTCAATTTT